TAGTTAGTTAGTTAGTTCGTTCGTTCGTTCGTTTGTACATTCCAACTGCAGTTTCATGTCATCCGCTAACAAAAAGAAATTTCTTTTAACATCTACGAAACTTAAAAAACCATGGGTGAAAGGGCATTTGAATATCAAGGGCCCGAGATCTAGGATGCGTTCCCCAGTAGTTTAAAAGTGATCAAATCCTTTAATTAGAATTTAATTCAAAAGTCAGCTTTCTGTCATTTCTGTTTCTAAATTAATGAGATATACATTTAGAGAGATATTTCCTTTTTTTTTTCAGAATACAGTGTACTGATTTTATATTACAGCGGTGTTGTATAGCGCTCAGACCCTGTGCACTTTAATCGGGTTTGGGCGCTTTAGAATTGCCATATAATATGTTATATTATTTTTATATGTTTATATGCTTGGGGTTTTTTGTGATCTTAATCGCATGTTCACAAGTTCTTCGGTTTCGTTGAAGGAACATTTTTTTCTTCTGCTAATGCATTTGTCATCATTAGACATTGACATCTTCTTCTTCTTCTTCTTCTTCTTCTTCTTCTTCTTCTTTTTCTCCTTCTTTTTCTTCTTCTCCTTTTTTTTCTTCTCCTTTTCTTCTTCTTCTTCTTCTTCTTCTTCTTCTTCTTCTTCTTCTTCTTCTTCTTTTTCTTCTTCTGAAATGGCTTAAAATAGAGCACCTCCAGGAGTTGTAAGTAACATTTTGAGTGCCGATCCTCGTTGAGTAAAAAGCGTAGGCCTACCGACAATATTCTCTTAGAAGACTTACCATACTGAATGAGACCATCTCTTCTGGCTGTTCCAACACGTTCTCCAGCATGATCACACTGCCCGGATGGGCGCTGTTGATGGCATCGGTGACCACCTTGCCCGTACATTCGGGCACAAAGATGATCTGAACACGGGCAATTAGGAAAATTATTACCTTAATGTTTACTGCTTCTGCCACCCCCCTCCCAATCGACACAGTCTCAGGACTAGATGTGCACTTTATTTTTGCGTTTGAGTTGTTTAGCTTTAGTAGAGGTTTTACGGCGCTTGCAACACAATAAGGTCATATGAGTGTCGAAGATTAGAGGTGTTGCAAGAGAGTAACAAACAAACAATTGTAGGAGTGGAGATAAGGACGACAGAAGTTTGATGGAGAAAGAAGAAGCAAACCACACCCGAACAACCGCCAACCACCCACCCACGGGCAATTACGACAATTATGACCGTAATAATTACTGCTTCTGCCCCCCCCCTCCTCACCCCCCCCCCCCCCCCGACACAGTCTCAGGACTAGAGGTGCACTTTATTTTTGCGTTTGAGTTTGTTTTAGTAAAAGTTTTACGGCGCCCGCAACTGCATAATGTCATATGAGCGCCAGAACATAGGTGTTACAAGGTATTAACAAAAAAAAGAAGGAGGGGAGATAAAGACAATAGATGTTTGATAGGAAAGAAGAAGCTAACCAAACCAGAGCACCCACCAACCACGCACCGTTTGAGTTTGAATAACAATAAGCACATCAACTCAACAATGGTGATTTAGCACAAGGATAAAGTAAGACAGACATATAATTTATTATATCCGTTCATGGTCATACCATTCCACATATTTATAATTATACATGGTCGTATCCGTCCACATATTTATATGTATACATGGTCGTACCAGTCCACATATTTATATTTATACATGGTCATATCCGTCCATATATTTATATTTGTTCATTGTCGTACCAGGCCACATATTTATATTTATACATGGTCGTATCAGTCCACATATTTATATTTATACATGGTCGTACCAGTCCACATATTTATATTTATGCATGGTCTCACAATTCACCCAATTGTAACCTTCACCTATTTTTATTATTGTTTGTACATAGTCTTAAGTGTCCATCAACTTATTTTTTTTAGTAGAGGTTTTACGGCGCTCGCAACTGCATACGGTCATATGAGCGCCAGAAGATTAGAGGTGTTACAAGAGAATAACAAAAAAAAAAAAAAAGAAGTGCGATAGATGTTTAATAGGAAATAAGAGGCAAACCACACCAGAGCACTCGTCAACCCCCCACTTCCACCAATTTAATTGTTATGCATGGTCTGACACCTCCAACTACTAATTTATATTATTGGTACATATTCTCACATCGGTACAATGACTGGAGGACAATAGATGAACAAAAAAATGTACTGAAAGAGAACCAAGAACAGGAAAAAGACATAGAGGTGGACTAAATTGAAGATGGCAGGACGACATCAAAGAGACGATGGGTGCAGCCTGGACACGGAAAAAAGCTGATAAAACAGAGTGGGGGAGGGGAGGTGGGTCGTTGTTGGATGGCTACATCCTGCTGGGGACGAACAACGCCAATAAAGAAAGAAAGAAAGAAAGAAAGAAAGAAAGAAAGACCGAAAGAATAAAAGAAAAAAGACAGAAAAAAGACAGATTTTTATTATAAGAAAGAAAGAAAGAAGACAGAATAGAAAGAAAGACCACAGAAAGACCAAAAGAAAAAAAGAAAGAAAGAAAAAAAAAGAAAGATAGAAAGAAAGAAAGAAAGAAAGAAAGAAAGAAAGAAAAAAAAGAAAGAAAATAGGAAAGAAAAAAAAGAACGAAAAAGTACACGTTCTTACCTGTTCCCCCAGTAGTCTGCCCATCTCTTCACTGACAGGCCTGAGAGTAGCCAGAAGTTTTCTTCCCGCGTCCTTTGTCTCGAACTGACTGAGCAGGACCGCAAGTTTTGCGCCTCTTTTCAGCACCCACTTGATGGTGGGAACGACCATGCGAAGGCGATAGTTGTCCGCGACCACACCGCGATAGAGAGGGACGCTCAAGTCAGCTCTGAATTTTTAAAAAAAGGTGGTGGGGGTGGATTTGTTGGGGGGAAAACCCCCCCCAGGAAATAGTAGAGGTAAAGAAGTGATTCGTGACTGAAACATGCACATGTGTAATTTCTACAATCTAAAAGTGCTGCTGTGACGTAAGTATTCGTAATAAAATATACACAGGAGACACAGACATACACACACGTACATACACACAAACACAAACACACACACACACACACACACACACACACACACACACACACACACACACAAACAAACACACATATACACATTATGTATGTGTGCGATATATTTTAGGGGGGGGGGTGGACAGAGCATTTATCATGGCCCTCTAAGATGTACAAGGGTGTCAGTCTTAAACGGAGGTAAATTAGCTTATACATTATGATAAAGAAATAGTGTGGTTTGTAGTTGGTGCTCTTGTGTGGTATGCTCCCTTCTTGTCTATTAAAATCTATCTCCCTTATCTCCCCTGCTTCTTTTCTGTGCCTGTTACTCTCTTGTAAACTCTACTATCTTTGGCACTTAATAAAAGTATCACTCTTAACTTAAATTATTAGAACTTGCTGTTGAGCGAGAGTGTGTGCCGTACAAAATTCTTCTTCTTCTTCTTCTTCTTCTTCTTCTTCTTCTTCTTCTTCTTCTTCTTCTCCGTCTTCTTTTTCTTCTTCTTCTTCTTCTCCTCACCATTATTATTATTATCATTATTTTTTTTTAAAAATCCTGCTTTAATTTCTATTGCTATTACCATTTTCATCCTATTATGGTGATTATTATTATTAATTAAAACTGAAAGTAAGAGTAAAACTAGCCCTCTGTTTCCAATTGCTTGACATAGTGCGCCACATTCTAGGTCACTGTGGGGGTCGCGGTGGGATTGTCACTATGTCTTACAGGAACAGGTAAGAACGCCCTATTTTCCAAGTGTGGTTTGCTTCTTATCTCCAATCAAACATCTGATGTCTTTATCTCTCCCACTCCTCCCCCCCTCCCCTTTCTTTATGTGTTAAATTGCTACTCTTTTGTAACGCTTATCTCCCCCTCCCCTTCTTTTTGTGATAAACTGTTACTCCCCTGTAACACTTCTAATCTTCAGCACTTATATGACCATATTGTGTTGCGAATGCAGTAAAACGCTTACTAAAACTGAAACTAAGAGGACATTATGTAATATTCTTGTCATATTTTCACAGTTTATTGGAGCTGGACCGGGAAAGACCTGGATAGGTGGAGTCGGGGAAATACTAACCACTCACGGCATCCCCCTTACCAAAGCTCTCCAGCTGGCGACAGAGAGACGTCTCTTTCTTCCCGCGACACACAAAAGGGTATAAGTGGCGGATAAAAGTAAAAAGTAAAGTTGGAGGTAGAAGTTGGGGGGGGGGGGTATTATTTTATAGTTGTTTTTTTACCATAACGTACACAATGAGCACGCGCTTTCCTTCGACGTCCACACGGTCAACACAGAGCCTTTCGAAGCCGGTGTCCATGCAGAATCCAGGCTGCTCCAGATTGCCTGGCTTAGTGGACACAACTTCGTCCACCACCGGCCGTTTCTGAGGGATAAAAGAGGTCACAAACGGTTTGTTTGTTTTGTTTTAGCAACAGTTTTACGAAACTTGCCACACAATATGGTTATATAAGTGCCAAAGAAAACGTGCTACAAGGGAGTAACATACACAAAAAGAAAGAGGAGAGATAGTTTTGTTCTAATAAGAGTTTTACGGCTCTCGCAACACAGCAAGGTCATATGTGCGCCAGAAGATTAGAAGTGTTAAAAAAAGAGTAACCAACATAAAAAAGAAGGGGAGATAAGGAGTATAGATGTTTGATAGGAATGAAGAAGCAAACCACACCAGAGCACCCTCCAACCACCCGCGTAGTAAGAGTTTTACGGCACTTGCAACACAATAAGGTCATAAATGCCGAAGACTAGGTGTGTTATAAGCGAGTAACATACACAAAAAGAAGGAGGAGAGATAAGGACGATATATTATATTTGATAGGAAAGAAGGAGAAAACCCTACCAGACCACCCGCCAAGCATACACAAATAGGTTGCATTTGAAGCCTGAACACTTGAAATTGTCATAGAACATACTGGACGAAGACCCCTTTTCAATATGCACACAATCAATCACACACACACACA